CCTATTATAATGCAATAATGAAAAATTACAAATGACTTCACTAAAATCTCATTTTTGACAGATAAACGTATTTTCTATCATATTAGAATATTAAAAAATTACAAATGACTTCACTGAAAAAATTTCACTAAAAATGACCTCACTAAAATTGACCTCATTTTTTGACGGAATAACGTATATACTATCATATTAAAATATTAAATAAATACAAATGACCTCACTAAAAATGACCTCACTTTTTGACAGATTAACGTATATCCTATCATATTCAAATATTAAATAAATACAAATGACCTCACTAAAAATGACCTCATTTTTCGACAGGTTAACGTATATTCTATCAAATTAGAATATTAAAAAATTACAAATGACTTCACTGAAAAAATTTCACTAAAAATGACCTCACTAAAATTGACCTCATTTTTTGACGGAATAACGTATATACTATCATATTTAAATAATAAAAAATATACAAATGACCTCACTAAAAATGACCTCACTTTTTGACAGATTAACGTATATCCTATCATATTCAAATATTAAATAAATACAAATGACCTCACTAAAAATGACCTCATTTTTCGACAGGTTAACGTATATTCTATCAAATTAGAATATTAAAAGATTACAAATGACCTCACTAAAAAAATTTCAATAAAAATGACCTCATTTTGTTGACAGATTAACGTATATCCTATCATATTAGAATATTAAAAAATAAAAACAACCTCACTAAAAATGACCTCAATTTTTGACAGGTTAACGTAAATCCTATCATATTAGAATATTAAACATTACAAATGACCTCATCAAAAAAATTTCACTAAAACTGCCCTCGATTTTTGACCGATTAACGTTTATCCTATCTTATTGGAAACTTAAAAATACAACTGACATCACTTTTGATTCACTCGAGAGAGAAATTCAGTGCGGACTATTCTAAAGATTAAGTTTTTTGAATGCCTTGTTTTTTGAGCAGAAAAATGATTTTGAGGAACAAAATTTTGACCGAATATGGGAATTTTTATTTTGGAACTTTTTGTAGCTATATGCTTCATAAAAATTGATTATATAGAAATTTTATAAAAATAATTTTCCATACAATCGAGATACTAAATGGTTAGCGTGGCCATTTTTCCACATGCAGTTGTATGATCAACGTTTTTTTATTCATCAACTTCTTTTCCCAATTTTTCAAAGATTTTACCGGGTATTTTTTTTTGTTTGTAATCTTTAATTACTTATTTTCTTTCAATGCTTTATGAAATATCCATGTCTGTTTTTATACGCGTTTGGTCATAATCTATTTTCCAGCATATCCAGAACGTTAGAAAAAATACGAAAAGTTTTGACTTTGCAGCTAGTTTTTCAAAACACGCGTCAAAGAACGTTGCAAATTGTTTCATATGTTATTTTTTATTGAAATTCAAAATTAAAGGTCGGAAAAAAGTTTATAACAAGAATGTTTAAAAACTCAATTGCAGAATTGGAGTATTTGCGAGCAAGTGGAGAAAAAATTTCAACTGCTATGTTTTTGAGAAGGCAGTTGCTCAAAGTGAGAACTAATTCATCTCGATTTTTCTTTTTAGACTCAATATTGAATATGAACTCAGAAGAATTTGAATAAGGGCTTCAATTTTCACAGAAAATAATGTTGAGAACCTGAGCTGCCTATTACGAATGGATAAAGGACGTAGTGTATTAGAAAATCGAGTTGCAGTTTTGTGTTACGGGTGAAGCTGCTGATACTCAAAATTGACGAAAACAATCAATATCGGAAAAATTTTACAGTTTCTACCGACAAAAATAGACAAAAGTCAGATAGAATACACTGACAGATAGGGTAAGCATAAAGCTAAATTTGAGGACCTACATGAGCATTTGAGAAAGTATAAAAAGTACAGGAGAAAGAAATCTGTTGCGTGATCTAATAGATCACACAACAGATCTAATACCATGCCTCAACTCAATTTCGAACACTTTTTTATACGGATTAAACCTCCGCTTACTCGTTAATTGCACAAAGTGGCCACTTTTTAAACATAATTGTACAAAAAAAGCTCACAGGTTAAATATTTTTAAAAGTTTGAGCTAAAGACAACAATACCTTTCGGCTGACAAAAAGATTTGTCAAAAATGGCTAGTAAAAAAAATCTATGTTTGTCTGGAGAAAAAAAACAACCCGGGCACAAAAGTTTCATCACTTTTTTGGAAGTCGAAACAAATTTTATCAATTTTTCAAACTAGAAAATCAACAAAATTTTGGCAAAAATTGAACAAAAGCTTCATAGAGTGAAGACGTAAAGAAAAATTCTTCTCAAGCAGATGCGCAATGAAACTTGGAGAGAAAATTTTCTGTGACCAGATTTTTTGAAACAGAATTTTACAATAGAATTCAAAAAATAGCTAAAAACTATCGTAAACGCGTGAACACCCTCATTTTAGCTCCATTTTGGGAATCAAAAACTACAAAAATTCAAAAAATTCTGCAAAAAAATCTGAAAAGTTTTTTGATTATTTAAACCTTTTTCTACAATTTTTTTTTCGTTTTCCAGTGATTTTTTTCACAAACTGTTTTCCAAATAGCTTATTTTACTATGAGTGTTTAATTTCATATAATTTTGTTCCGGTCTTCTTATCACACCACGCAGAGTAAACGCTACTTGCACAGTAACCGGCAATCCTTGTTGATTTACCAAAATTGTGTAATCAGAAGTTCAACTGCGAAATGAATGTGGTATGTTTCGACAAAGTAACTGGAAAAGGCTGGAAGAAAGTATGTCGTAGGTTAGGGTAGGTGTTTGGTCTGATTCTCCATATTACTTTTCTCAAGGAAAGTTCATTTTGAGATGGGGGTTATGATTTTAAAGCCCTCGTGGTCGTTGTTTGAGACACGATCAGTTAGAAGCACACTGGTGCATAAACGACGGCTCTTTACAGGCAAGTGAGCTAGCTATACAGAAGTGTGCCGAAATGAGCGTGAGTGACCGCTGTCCTCAATTCTAGTAGGCTAATTTTTCCAAAGGACCCCCTTCGGTACAATTTTATGACAACGGTTTCTCTTCGATTAAACCTAATTTTTACTGAAGGTTTCTTTAGCGGCAATATACAGTATATATACGTAATTGCTTGGTCGGAAACTTCCAAAATGTGCCAAAGAAAAAAAAACATTTTTTGCTTAATTTTTTTAAAACTTTGCCTGCATCGCAGACAGGGGTGGCTAGCAAATACGTCTTGAATGAAGTTTTAGTTGGGTTCTTTAAAAAAGAAAAAGTGCATTTGATTTTCGATAATTTCATAAAAAATCACGAGTTCAAAAAGTTTTTTGAAAACCTAAGCATCCTAACCCAACGGGTAAACTTTTCTCAGCTAATTGATTTTGCTTTTAAAAGAGCTCCATCTCTCCTTCCCACCTAGAGCACCGTTGGATATTAACACCCGCAATGACATTCCATGGATAATAGTCGATTATAAAGGATTTTCATGATCTGCTTCAATGAACTTCCAAAATAATCGATAATAAAACAAATAGAGTAGATATCAATTCGAACTATTATAATCTATTATAATGTATTATAATGGATTATAATAGTTTAAGATGGATTAGAAAAAAGTTTTATGAGCTAGAGCGTTGCTTTTCCAAACTTTGAAAGAAAATACTCAAAACTTGAACGTTGCAATTGCAAAATTGAGTTTTACATTTGGCTGCAGCAAAATGTTGTTTTCATTTGACTTGTCTTTTTCTACTTGTCTCTCCTCACCTCCCCCCATCATTTACCCTTAAATAATTTTACCTTTAAAATACGTGAAACTATCGTAAACGCGTGATCACCCTCATTTTAGCGCCATTTTGGGAATCAAAAACTACAAGAACTCAAAAAATTCTGCAAAAAAAATCTGAAAAGTTTTTTGAAATTATTTAAATTTTTTTCTACGATTTTTTTCGTTTTTCAAGTGATTTTTTTCATAAACTGTTTTCCAAATGGCTTATTTTATTATGATTGTTTAATTTCATATAATTTTGTTCCGGTCTTCTTATCACACCACGCAGAGTAAACGCTACTTGCACAGTAACCGGCTATCCTTAATTTGAGTGACATTGGCATTTGCGGTAAAAAATCATCTGTAACCTGCCACAAGAGTCTAATGATAGAGCGGCACAAGCTCTAAAATGCTCAAGAATTTATTTCAACTCGCTGTTTGTCAGGCTGTTTCCGTACGTAGCGCAGACAACAGATTAGTTTTCATGAAAATTAGAAAAAAAAGAATTACTTTACGCTACTGTTTTACATCGAGTGGCTGGAGCTACCAAATAACAAAATTGGTCGAGATAAAACTGCACTTGGAAAGTTTTTATTGTTGTTTGACGCCCATGGAACAGCCATTGATTAATATAAAAAATAATAACATTTTCAAACATAAAGAAAAAATTTTGATTTCTTTCAGATTTTTTAAAATTGTTTCAACTCGCTCTATGTGAAGCGCCGAGTGATTTTATTGTATCTAGTATCGTATTACTGAAACCAGTAACTGGCGCCCTTGATTTTCGGTGCAATTAGAACTTATTAGAAATTAGAAATGTGCATGAAATGATCAAATAGTATAAAAACGGTTTTCTGAAGAACCAGTTTTTACCTGTGAAGTTGAGTTTATTTTTTCCTAATTGATACTATTTTTTCCCTTTGAAACGCTTGTAAAATTTTTCTCAATTAACAAAATTGGGATCAAAAAATTATGCACTGCTGCTGTTTGTGCTCAGCCAACTTCAGTCCGTCATTGTGTTTTCCAAAAAAAACTTGTATTTTCCGCTTACAAAAAACATATCTTGATTGAAGCGATCTAGGGTTATTATGTCCCATTAGATTGCATGTTTAGCAGCACTTGATAAGCAAGCTTAGTTTTTTTTGTGATCAGGCGTATTTTGAATGGAAATTTAATCAATCAAGATTTTCTATATCTATCATTCAGTTTGGTTAAACAAATCAGAATTGATAACTAACCTGATGTAACAACTTCGGAACAGAGCAGGAGGAGAATTGCAATGACAGCCGACACCTCCAGTGAAAGCCGACTTCTGATCAGGAAAAGAGGCAAAATGATACTCGTCAAAAACATTTTCTTCACTTGTTTTCTTTCGCATCCCCCATTTGAGATTTCGGGCTCAATTTGAGGAAAATAAGTGCTGGATAAGCGTAGTTCGGATATAGCAATAAGTTTAACCAATAATTAATTTTGGTGATAGTTTTTTAGGCAATATCGGTAAGACAGGTAATTTAACTTTCATCAAGGGTTAATGTCATCAAGGCGGTTTCCATCAACAAATGTTTTGTGATTATTCGTCCATTTGTTCACGCCTAAAAAGTGATCAAAACAATAAAGCAAACAAAAACAGCGACAAATGCTCTAAAATAGGCAATCAAAAATGATCAATAGTCTTCCACATAAACCTCCGTTTGGGGTAAAAAAGGGTAAATTGGCGGGGGAAGTTTAAAAGGTGGAAAAGGGACACACAGGTTGCCAGATTAAAAGGTAATAGATTCAGGGAAGCCAATTTAACTCCGTTAGATATCACCTTCAAAAGATTATATCGTTTTATTACTCGAAAAAACAGGATGTAAAAACAGCGAGATTTCAAACAAAATGAAAAATTACCCTCAATTTCCTCAAAATGATTCGATTTTCACCATAGTTTAGAAACAATTTGAAAAGATTTCAAGATATTTTGTTATTTCTTAAATGTTATTTTTCAGTTCTGTTTTAGGTGCAAATGCGACAATTTTGAAATGATTAAAATTAAGGTAAAAAAATGCATCGATTTGGGCAAGCTTAAAAAAGCTTTAAAAAAATTAATGAGGCTAGAAAGACTTAACAAAATTTTTTGACTATTAGAAGAAATGTCCATTTTTGATGAAGTTGCCTCGTTATTTTAAATCGCATTCCTGCAAAAATTGGAATTGTGCTGATTTGCAATTAATTTATGACAGGCGATGAAGGTTTTTTTTGAATAATTTAACCAGCGTTGAAATATTAAGATTAGTATTTCTAGGAGAGCAACCTTAGATTAAAAAATCACATCGAATTTTCATTATTTTCGTTGTATTTTTGTCCTGAAATTTTGTTCAGGAAAACAGAGGTTGTCTGATGAACCGCCAGTGAAATGGTGGTTGATAGAAAAAAATGCGCTGAATTCTGAAGTCAAATGAGCTTTCATTTAAGACTAAATTTAATATCAAATGACAACTATTCATAATACCATTTCGATGAAGTGAAGCCTTTCGAAAAAATCCATAATTCAATTTTATAAATGGGGTGCGCTTGTCGCCTTTTAATTTCAATTTTATCGGCCGATGATACTTGAAAACTATTTCACAAATTTAAAATGAAAAATAGTCTTCATATAATTAAGGGGAAAAATTGACAAAGTACAAACGTGTCAGACAAACTAAATACAAACATTCAGACGTGTCATCCGTAAAATGTGAAGAGATTAAATTTTGCGATTTTTTTGCTCAGAGTAATAGTTTCTTTGGAGGATGTACTACCCACACTTATAAACGTTCAAATCGATTAAAACTATAAACAGTTTGTCAATTACCCTTATTTAACTATTTAAATTGTTCCTCTTTTTGAATTTCATACCCGCCGCTCTTGAACTCTAAAAAAATTTGTTCAATTCTTTTTTTCCGCTCATTTTTTCATGAAGTGGAAATATCAGCGAATTAGCTTTACATGACAACTGATTTTACTGCTGTGAATCTACTTTACCTAAGACAAGGATGCTAAATTATTCAATCATTGCTTGTGTTTTTGAAGTCATTTTGGTCTACCATAAGAATACCTGAAATAAATAAAGTCAATATTTCAGATCAGGGGCGGATCTAGGATTTTCTCGAGAGGGGAGGGCGGATTTTTAAAAACTTTTCAAAAATTTTGTCTACCTTTTTTAAGATCGAGCAAAATGAATTTTCGAGCTCTCTCAAAGCACTAAAAAGACCCTGTTTTGGTAAAACTTTCTGCACTGCGGGCAAATATTTGAAAAACAGGCCAAAAAGGCGTTTTTAGTCACTTTTTGAAAAATTTTGACCAAAAAATTGCGTTTTTTTTTGGCGCGCGCTCCCCTCTCAAAATTAGTATATGATGACGCCGAAGGCGCCTTTAGAAACCATCAAATATGGATATCTCAAAATAGTACAAAAAGAAAAAAAGAAGACCCGTCCCCCCTCCTACCCCCCCCCCCCCCCCCCCCCACGGCCCTACAGAACATTACATATCACCACTTTCACTCTTCATTCCAAATTTACAAATGAAGTTTTTTTTACATAACTTGCTTGGGTTTTTTAGGAAACATTTCGAACGATTAAAATATGAATTTTTAAACCCATATTTCTTTCTCAAATTTGGTCATAATTAAACGCAAATTGTCTCATAACAAGGTAATTTTCAGCATTATCAACCGTTTTCAGTCATTTTCAGTCATTTTGAGTCTTTGATGTTGCAGCGCTGTGTCACATGTGTCAGTGCGAAATACGTGATTAACATTAAAAACTACTTTCATGTATGGATGCAGTGATTTTTCCCCAAATTAACAATGCAGACTTCAATGCGAGACCAATTGTCGGAGTGCTAGCTCTCTCCCCATAATATATAGTAGCAATGGCACCTGAAGTTCTTTAAAAAAACTATTGGTTAGTCTAAAGATTCAAATCAATTAAATTATAATCAAAAAATGGGTCCGGTCCGTTGATTGGCGACAAGGTTGAACTCACAGCGAAATTGTTGCCCCCGATGAATGACAAGGAAATGGGTATGACCTAGGCAATTAACCTAAAAATGAGCAAAAAAAACAAACTAAGTGAAAAACAAAAAACTGGGATAATTGACCAAGTTAAACAGCAAACAAATAATCGTTTCACTACTAGCTTGCCCAAAGTTGATCGAAATTGAGACTAACTGTTGTAATAAACAGTGATCAAATAATTGTTCATAATTTTTCTTCTACTTTAAAAAAAATCCATAAATAATTTTCTTCTTTTTTGGTGCCTTGCTTCGTTTCTGTTTGTATTACTGTCTCTCATAGTTGTACATTAAATTCAGGTGTCTAGAGCAGACGCGTCTCCCTGTCATTCACCTCCTACCAACCAAAAAAGTCAAAAACTCAAATTTGAAAAATAAGAAAAACAGCTTTTTCATAGGATAAAAAACGTGGAAGGTTAAATTGGTCAATCTACCGTATTTTAAAAAGAATGCTTGACCTTGTATATAAGTTACAAAGCGGCGACTCAGTTATATTTCATTTTTATTTGAGACGTTTTTCGTTCCACAACAAAAGAAAACTCTTGATTAAATTTTTTTTCTAAAGGGCCATGTGACAAGTCAAATTACTCTCAAATTGAGACTGATGGCTTTTGTTATTATAAAAACTATAAAAACTGTAGAAACTATAATTCAACAGAATACTAGCATTGAACATCTTGAGCGTTTGAAATCCGAAGTAAATACAAAACTCTGATTTCAAAACAATACGAGATGCTCAAAACAATATGGGGAGCGGTGTTGAAGTGATTACATCTCCGCCTCTCAATCGAAAACTCGGATGTTTGAGGTCCACCATGATCCGTGCTCGTTGCTTGAGGTTGAAGCAACGTTATCCAGCGCAGAATAATAACCAAAAAAATTGCATGTGTTTCTTAAGCAGGGGCAAAACAGCGGTTCGCCGTGATGAGCTGTACAGCTCTTGTGTTGGTCCTTTCGCTGTGGATAAATGGTCTTAATCTTTAAGTAAAATGGGAAGACACCAGTCAAAATAACAAAAAAAAGACCTCATTATATTGGTGATTATTTCAGGCCACAATGTTAATAATTCAAACTACATTAATTTATTAATACTAATTAATAAAAGCAAATCTTTGCCTCATTATGTAGCCTCATTCTTGTTTCGTCATTATGTAGACAAGACTTCTAATGAAAAAAAATTAAAGCAAAACAAAAATAAAAAAAATTTTGTATCAAAAGTAATAATCATAACTAAGTTAATTGCAAAAGTAATATAAAAAACCACATTACCAAAATAAAACGTGTAGCAAAACAATCATAGAAAAAATTTTGATATAATCTAATCATCATGAAATTATTTTTGATGAAACTATCACAATTAAGATAAAAAACCTAATAAATTATCTTAATTTCAATTATTTAAAAAATGACAAAAAATAGGCGTACGCTCTGCCGGTCTTGTTTCGTCAGAGCAAAGGCAGCCCATGAAACTTATTATCGGTAGGATGTTCGCAACGCCATTGTTTAAAAAACGTCTGCCGATTTGAATGGTTTTCTTTGAGAAAGATTAATGCCAGTTTTATCAACAGAAGTAACAATGTTTCAACGACATGTTAATTACAATCAGGTTTTTTGATGTTTCGCTAAGTAGTAATTTTTCACTTCAATGATTATACCTAGGTTTCGCCAAAAATAATCACTTCTCCGATACAGACAAAAAACAAAACAGTGAAAGTTTCGCTAAAAAAGAAGCAACATCGCAATGGCCGGAAGAACCCTCTTTTTTTTGTAATTGTATAAAACCGAGTTTTGTAAGACATAGAACTGCTTTCTTTCTAATTCAAGCGCTTGCTCTTAAAAAAGTCCTTACAATCAACAAATGTATTTGTTTTATCTAAAAAGGCTCTAATTTTTGTTTAAAAAACCGAATTGACTTAAGAACTTCATAAATTTCACACACGTATTGCTGATTTAAGCTATGTCAGGTTAAAACACTCAGAATTTATGCTCATAATCTCAAATTGGAGAACCTAAAATCAGCAAGTTTTCTCAAAGCATAGTGCTTATTTAATGAATAAAACCTTTGCTCAATGATAAATTCCTAGAACATTATAGGAATTCATATTTTTGTGTTTTAACAAACACGGTTGTGTAATTAAACAAAAAAATTGCTGAAAGGGTGGTTGATTTTATCTTGTTTCTTTTTTACCCATTGAAAAGATGTCTCTTTATTAATCTTTGTCGAGCAATATCAAAATAGAAAATTCCGGCAAATTTATTTTTTATTATGCTTTTTTGATAAAAACCCCAGGAAAAAAATATTTCTTTCCAAAAAATGCAAAAACTGTGATTAAATAGAAACGAAATTGTGTAAGACTTCTGAAAATAGATGAAGCCGGGATTTTAAACAATATTTGGCAATGATCACCCTTCAGTTTGAATTTTTGACAGGGCGCACAAATTGTTGAAGCAAATGGTACGTTGTGTTAGAGCGCACGTGATAATTTATTTAAGAGCAATCATAATGTAAAAACCTTTAAATTTATAATCGAGAAAAAAGAACCATAATAATTTCAATCAAAACATTAACAATAAATATCAAATTAAAATCCGAGTTTATCTAATTGCCTAAAATGTCATAGTAAAAACTGTACAAGTTTTTTTTTCAGACAAACTATGTCTGCAATTCAAACCGTTTGACCTCGACACGGAGAAGGCTTTTTGGAATTTTTGAAGCATCCAAAATCTACACTGAAACAAGACTGCTTCTATCCGGGCAAATACCGGCATGTTCCAACTGCGTTTTAAGATCTATGGAGTAGTGTATGTTTTAAGAGAAAACTGATGAAAATTTTTTTAAATAAATTTTTGAGATTTTGTTTGTAAAATAATCACCCCACACGCTAAGTTAAGAACGAAACGATATTTTTAGTACATAGCAATGTATTGAACAGACAAAATAGCATGCCTCAATTCAATTTGAAACGATTTTAAATACGAGCCAAGCGATCTCAGTAAATACGCGTTAATTATTCCAAATTAGCCTGATTGGCAATCTGAAAACCTTAGCGAAAATGATCACCGATTAATTTTCTTTTAAGATTTTGCTCATGACAACAATAGGTTTTGATTGTTAAAAATTATTCCGTAAAAAATGGATAGTTAAAAAAGTCGAAAAATGTCTGGAGAAAAAATCACCCGAGCACAAATATTCCGACACTTTCGATAGTCGGAACAAAAAAGATACTTTTGACTAAATAGTTGAAGTAAATGACTCGGTAAAAACTTGCGAAGACTATAATTGGATATACAAAAAATCAGTTTTGAATGATGCTTGGATAACTGAAATTTTGTTTTGAAGCATACAAAAGAGAAAAAAGCTGGATCAAATAAGCTGGCCAACAATTGTTCTTGTTAACAACTATCATTATGATATTATTTTACTGCGGAACAGCTCCGGCCTTTTTTGAAGTTGGAAGCAATGAAAAAATTGCTTGGTTTCTTATCGGCAATTTTAGTTGCATAAATTACTCGTCGGAGATTGAGTTTTTTTTCAAGAGATTTCTTTTGTTATATCGATTCAGAAAAAACATCGAGCACAGTTTCACTTAAAAAAGTTAAATACACTGTTAGGCAGTGCTTAAAGTGATATGGCGGACTTACCGTTTTTGGGATCTTTTTTTTGAAGAATTTGACCGGAATTTAAACGTGCTTCGTCACGAGGCTCCCTCTTTTGTTCATAAGTGTTAGAGCCAAAAAGCGCCAGTGGAAAATTCCACCAAGAATGGATGTTTCAAAGTATACATAAAAGGGAGGTCGAATCTTGGAGGGTCCAAAAACTAAACTATCCAGAATTTAAAACCTAAACTAGATAGGTGTCACAGCTCAAAAATTTTAGGCTGAACTTTTTATTAAAATTTTTATCAATTCACAAAGTAATCCGTTTTTTTTCTCAATAAGTCGAAAAAAGCTTTGAACAATTTTAAATCGGCTGTAAGCTAGCGTTTTTAATTGCGGGTGTCGACTTTCTGACATTAAATCAACCGATTAGTCCCGCTTTAGCGAAAATTCGTACCTTACTCAATCAGCAAAATTTTTCACCTTATCGACAAGATATAATTATAGATACTTTTAATGGTGATAATCTAAAATCAATATTAAGGATTCAGGGAACCATTTCATTCAATATATAAAAATAAATTAAATTGAATAACAAATATGTTTGAACTATTTTAAATTCTAATATTGGGAAAACTACACTTTTTGTTTAAAATTGTTCCTACCTTATTCATATTGAATTTCCGCATCATTTCATTCAACGGAAGTAAATTACTATAAACGGAAATATAATAACAAAAAAGGGGTAAAAATGAAGACGTAAATCTCTTTGTTTCCACTGATTTAGAACATCATTTAGATCAGTAGTTCAGGGTAAAAATTAATAAATTTGAATTTTGACCCGAATTAGGGAAAAGGGTCGCTCAAAGTAATCTGTCACTTTGATTCTTCTCATTCAAATATCGCAGCTGGATGTGTTTTTGAACAAAAGAGATTTTAAGTGGCCATTTGAAGAAACAAACTAATCCAAGTAAAATATAGAACTAGACAGAACACAATTTCGAAATTGAAAAGGCAATTTAATTTAGGTTTTTCTAATTTGAGTAAGTATACTTCTTCTTAATTGAAAAACGACGCAAGCAAACAGCAATTTGAGTTTTTTTAAAAAAATTTAAAAATTTTAGGTTTTCATGACGTTTTCTTAGAAAAATTAATCAATCAGGCATCGAAAAATGTCGCTTTGCGAAAATGAATTCTTCTGCCATTAATAATGAGACAAAAATAGCAAAATTACCCCCAAAAAAATCCGAAAGAATTTTGTTAAGAAACTGAAAAAAAATGAACTTTTTTCTTCTAAATCTCCTTCGTTTAAAAGTTCAGGCCGAGAATTGACCAGACAAACTACAACAGAGCTTATCTGGATTAAGATTGACTTAAGTTGGATTGTTAAAAGAAAGAATGGCTGCAATTTTGTAAATCCCCCTTTTCCATTACAACGTCAAGCTCCACCTGTCTGCATTGGACAAAAGATTGTTTACTTTTCCTTGTTTGTTTTTCCAAATCCCAGATCTTGTTTTTTATTTATGGTGAAAACATGCAGACAAAAACGAGCCTCTTATTTTTCCTGTTATTCTGAGAGCTTCAGATTTGTATGAGCCTTTTTTATTGTAATTGTGACCGTTTTGTCTCTCCTAGAATCATTGTTTGTGCTGAAATGTCAGCTAGCTATTGACTATATATAAGTCCGCCCATTTTGGGGCGTGTCTTCGGTTATTTGAAACATTGTTGAAGAAACAGTATTAAGCATTGACAGGTAATTTGAGAAAGACGCTGAATTCGTTTGCGGCTCTTAAGGTTTCGAACTACAAGCAATTAAGCAAAAGCAGATATATGTGCGGATCTCTGTTATGAATGGCTATTATAAATCTCTAGTGTGTGGTGTGTGTGTGCGATTTAATGAATAGCTATCAGTTTTATGAAAATTTTTATAAGAGCAAAAATGTGTGTGTATCTGTGCCTAATCGTTGAGCGGTTACCCTACTGCTGGCTAACAACTAATCCAGAAAAAGTTTCTTTCTGTAGTAATGAAAACCTAGGATCAGCTGGTCACTGTATGATAGACTTTCAAAAGTGATTGTTCCGATTTTCGAAGAGAGTGGCGGAATATTTGTGCTTGGCGTGTGGTGTCTTTTTTAACAGACAGCTTAACCAGTCCTTGTGGGTTTTTACTAGTGCTTTTTAACGGAATTTTTGTACCATTTGAAAATGATTTATTTTTGAAAACTGAACCAATTTTCAAATAAAACAAGATTGCTTTTATCAAATTGAAGCCTTGATTGCTCCGACTGCCTTTTAAAGTCAATTGCGTATAGTTTTTTTCTGAAAAAAAGAAAGGATGATTTTTCACCAATCGAATTTTAATTTAAATTTGAGCTCAGGGCCACGATACCGCTCAAATGATAACTAAAAATTTCGTAAGCAAACAAGACTGCTCGTATCAACTGAAAACCTGAATGTTTCGACTGCCTTTCAAAGTCTATGAAGCAGTAAAAACAGAGGGTTGTCACGGGAAGACTAAAAGTATTTCTTCTTCTCTTTCCCCTCACCATCAGTTCTTGGTATTTTTGTTCCTTTTAAATGTTCATTTTCTTCAACTGTCATGAAAAATGCCATGTCTGCTATTTAACTATTGATAATTTTTTGCTCTTATAAAAATTTTCATAAAACTGATAGTTATTTATTAAATCAACAGGTAGAAACTCTTTCAACCTTCAGTAAACTAAAGTCCCCATTGAAAAATCAACAGCGTTCTGTGCTAAAATTTATGGTTACAAGGCTAAGTGGGCTTCAGTGAAAAATTCAATTGATTCCTATGGTGAATAAAGGACACATGTTATGAATACAGTTTGAAAAAAAACGCGTTTAGAGATAATTTTCAAACCTAAGCTAAAACCAGTTAGAGCAATTAATGCAGCTCTAATTATTCCAACTTGATTGAATAAGTTCTGTTTGATCTCAATATTTTGTGACTAGATGCATTCTTTTTTAATTTGTTCTTTCCAAGTGCGTGAAGAAAGAAATCATTTTCAATGAGAAATCAAATTTCTTCTTCTTTTTAAAAAATTTATCATTTTTTTTACCCTTAATCTATTCCATAGACTTCAAAGTGTAGACAAAATATTGAAAGTTTGGCCCTGATACGAGCAGTGTTGTTTAAGATTTACAGCAAAATCCGCATAAACGCATAACCTCAAAGATATTCGTATGCGTGAAATTCACACAGAAGGCCTATTTTCTCAATTGCTGTGAAGTGAAATTTTTTTAGATGTATTCAAAGAGGTTTTTTTCCGAACATGTCAATATTTCCGAACATTTCCGTGTTTTTTTATTACAAAATTAGTTACACCAAGGAAATCAAATAGATGCTCAAAAAAGTATCATCCCAAACCCCTATCAGTCGGGACTTAGATTTCAATTAAAATTAAAAAAAAATTGTCTGTGGTAAAAAAAAGGCTTGTAGTTTTCTGTTCTCTAAAAAGCTGGCACATAATGGCACATAATTTACTTATGGCAAGCAGAAATTTTTTCATTAATGATATCTCAATTAAATTTTCCAATGATTTACAAGGAATTTACAATGATTTAGTATTTTTATCATGTCACTTATTCAAATAAATTGCCCTTTACTGGAAATTGAACAAAAAATAAATTCCTTGAAAAAAAGTTATATATATTTTTTGCATTTTCTGTACTTCAATCGTATTGATTTGAAAAATTTGTATTAATTGTTCATCAACCTACTATAGTTTTGCCCTTGATCAGCTTGATAATCTTAAGAGTTGTTTCACGGATTTTTTTAGAGATGCCTAAAAACCTTTTTCAATTTTTCTAATTAAAAAAAAAACGACAACTTATATCAGCTCAAAAGTCTGACGAATCACGTTTGTTGTACAGCTAAAAATGTTATTCTAAAAATCTAAAAAAATTTGAAACTGGTTGGTTAAATTAGATTTCAGAAATTAGACCCTGAACTGACGTTGAAATCTAATAGAAATTCAAAGTTTTGTGAGCTAGCTGTAACACAAACCGGCGATTTACTGTACGAAGTTTTTTTGATTTGATCACCTCACAATACATCTACAAAAAATTACAGTTTTGGAGTGTAATAAATTATTAATAAGAACCAATGACTTGCTTCAGCTCAATTCGGAAAGATTATTGAGTCGGATTAAGAAACATATTGAGAACGAATTCCCAAATTAGCCAGATGGCATTTTGCAATCCTCAAAACCTTCAACAAAAATGTTTGTAGGTGAATTATCATACTTATTTTAAGTTCAAGGCATCATTATATGTCATCTATCCTGTAAAACATTACTTGTTTTAAAACTCGAAAAAAAAAACACCTCGAGAACAAACCTTCCGTTAATTTCTTCAAAATTGGAACAAATTTAATTTTATTGGCTGAAAGATAGAGCTGAAAATTGGTTTCAAAATCGGATAAGCTTACCAGTGACCCTATTGTCGATATTACAGAGCAAATTAGAATAGGTATCGGCATAGAAATTTACCAAACTTCCATGTCTCCTCTTGAAGCTCAGTAATGAAAAAAAATTAACAGTGAAATTGTATTCTCTTCTCGTTCCATCATTTTGAAAATGAAATTAAATATGACTTTGTTTTTTAAGGCAAATGCAAATTTGTATGTCTCAAATATAAAAGAAACGTATTGACAATAGAATTAGATGGAAATTGGATTTTATAGTTTTTAAATGCGATAAATTTCAGTTTTTAGGTTGAAACGTTTTCGAAATGACTTTTCGATTCTGATTTTTTTTTTGATTATATTATTTATGGGGAACAAAATTAGCTGTTACTCAATTTGTTTTTGAAAACAAAGTCTAATTTTCCAGTCGAGTTATATTTTTAGAAGTTGAGTATTTGGGTCATTTTGAAAAATTTTGAGAGCTCATAAAACACGGTATAAATTGCCTAAGTTTGACCCAAATGCTCATTTTCTAAAACCAAAAACGACTGGAAACTAGAATTTGTTTTAAATACTAATTGGTTAACCGCTATATTTTGCCATATAAATAAATTCATCGATAAACTCCGGCGGCAAGATAAGATAGAATTTGTTTTAAAAAAATAATTGATTAAGACACTATCGACAACCCCCTTTCTCCGGCTTTTTTCGGTTCTAAAATGGATCAAAATTATTCAAAAAGGCAAGTTATAATATGCAACTGGTCAAAACGAAACAGTTTATTTTCATTTAGTCTCAAGCTGCCTCGTATAATGTTTTTTAGCCAATTTCTCTACTCTTATGAGAACAAATGCGTTTTTATTGTTCCGATTTTTGAAGAAACCGGAATATTTAAGCTCGGTGAGTTTTTTTATTCAGTCAATTGTCATCAATCGAAATATTAATTTTCAGCAAAAATGTAAAAAGATACTTCAAATATAAAAAGATAATTTTGTAAAGTGCTGGGGGTTTAAATATTGCCAAATTTGCTATATTCTGGACTAAATTATGCTCGCTTTGAAGAGTTTATTCTTAATGCTGAGAGCGTAACGCGAATTATTTATGCGTGGCGATTTTATCCCGCAAAACAAAATCGTTTCAAATTGAATTGAGGCTAGCTTATTGGTCGTATTAGTTTTGTACGACTCAAAGCTTTACACATTAATATTGTCCAAGCTGTATAGGTTTTCAATATTTTCTTTTCCCAAAAACTATTCGATATAGTAAGGGACTGTCGGAACATTCAGGGCTTTGCCCTGTTATACGAGCAGTCTTGGTTGATGTTTAATTACATATTGTGTATAATAGTAGGTTGACTCAACGCTCGCAAAATCAGACTTGCTTCTTTTCCAAGTAAGAGCGATCCAAAACTTTGATGAAAATGTCATTATTAAATTTTATCAGTTATGGAGTATATTCCCCTCCAATCCCAAAAAATCCCCTCCAAACCCCATTATCTTAACCCTTTTCAAACTATGCAAAAAATTGAGTGTATTGTGGCGAACATATTTTTCTTGCGTTTAGATTTTTGAAAGACACGTGAAATAAGAGCATCGCTTTTTAGATAATAAAAAGTAGGCCGTATGATGGAAATAATCAAAATGCCAGCAGTAAATACGCTTTTAAACGGTTTGTTACCTTTGTCGGGGAGACCGATATCGTAGAATTAGAAGCAGATTTTAACAACTAGGTAATATTGTAGTTGCAATATGTAATTAAAAAGCAAACTCTTTTTTTTTTCAGAATTACTTCTCTGATTCGAAAAAGCCTTGATGACGAATATTTAAGTTTGATGCCAATTTTAATGGAATAAATGTTCGACCAATACTCGAGTGGCGAACAAAAGCGATCTGCAGACTAAATTTGAGCACTCCTTATTCAAATAGATACACAAGAGATTAACAAAACGAGCAAACTTCGACTAAATACCATGCAACTCACTCTAGATTAACTTAATCATAGGATCACAAATTATGTT